ATAATCTCATTTCCCCCAGAATTCCTTGTTCATCTACATTTGTAATGTGACCACAGAGAAAATATTGGAAGAACAGGTTATTTTCTTCACCTGGGGATCAACTGAGAGCCTGGTTGAGGGGGCAGTATGTCTGACTAAAAAGTCCTATACAAGTGGGTGTGAACATGGAGCACGAGGAATATGTTGAATAGAAGTTTGTCTCTGCCAGTAATAGTAACACTGGTGTCTGTATCATCCTTTCTTCTTGCCACATGGGGATGGGAGCTTTGTTGAAATTTCAGTAGACAGAGGTCAGGCCTCATGTGAGAGACAAACCTCACTCTGCAATGTGAAGATCATCCTATTATGAAGCACATCGCACACACCTTGGTGACGCTCCCTGACTAGGCAAGTGCTCCCTTTCTCTCCAGCTGAGCCTCCTACCTTCAGGGGTGCTTTTCATTCCGTCTGAATAAAGCCAATTATCTGTAACACGGGAGAATGAGTACGTGCTCAACAGCCAGAGCACAATACTCACCCAAACCCTGCAGGAGACATCTATGTCTTTAAATGGTCTACAGCACCTGTGTGCAAAGTCTCAGAGTTTAGGTGCATAACAGACGACATTAGCACAGATCAGGCCAGTGGATGGGCGGTGGGGTTGAGGGGATATGCCATTTCACCATACTTCTCTTACTTGACTAAGTTACTATAAAAGCATGACCAGTTTATGGTTTAAAAAACTAGAACAGTTACAGAAAGATATATAAAATAAAAAGTTTAAGATGTACATTCTGCTCTGTTTATAATGAATAACCAGCAAGGACCTACTGTATAGCACAGGGAACTCTCAGTTCAGTTCAGTCGCTCAGTTGTGTCCAACTCTTTGCGACCCCATGAATTGCAGCACGCCAGGCCTCCCTGTCCATCACAAACTCCCGGAGCTTACTCAAACTCATGCCCATCGAGTTGGTGATGTCATCCAGCCATCTCATCCTCTGTCGTCCCCTTCTCCTCCTGCCCCCAATCCCTCCCAGCATCAGGGTCTTTTCCAATGAGTCAACTCTTCGCATGAGGTGGCCAAAGTATTGGAGTTTCAGCTTCAGCATCAGTCCTTCCAATGAACACCCAGTACTTAACTCTGCTCAATGTTAAATGGCATGCCGGATAGGAGGGGAGTCTTGGGAGAGAACGGATACATGTATATGTATGGCTGAGTCCCTTTGCCATCCACCTGAAACTATCACAACACTGTGAATCAGTTATACTTCAATATAAAAAGTTAAAAAACAGAAGTTTAAGTTCTCCATCCACATGCCATTCATCCGTCGGGTAGGGGCGAACAAGACTCTACGATGTGTATTGTAAGTTGCTTTGTGGACCTCACACTGTATCTTGGAATCTGCCCAACTTCAACATACACACTATCTCAGCGTTCAGATGGCTGTGTGGCATTCCCGTGGACAGCTGCGCCCGTCTTTATTCAACTATCGAATGGGCTCTTGCCCACAGAGAACTTCCGTTAGTGAGCAGGAAGTTAAAGCAACAAATACATAGGACTATAAAACACTCGGCAAATCCCATCTAACTGAAATGAAATTCAAGTTAAAAAAAATAACAATTTAAACAGCCAAGGAATTTTGAACAGTTTTATTAATTCCAAGTCTTTTGAATGCTTATTATTAAATGAGAAAGCTTTCATTATTGCCCTACATACTTATCAGGAAAATGAAACCTTGCCTTTTGCTTGAAGTGTTTTGACAGATTTTCTGAAAACAAGAAAGGAAGGGCTCTAGGGGAAAGTGAAAACACCAGGCAAATGAGATTCTGGCGCTCCTCCTTAGGATAGGGGTTATTTTCAGCCGGTGGCTTACTGTGCCCGGCAGATATCAGACAAAACCAGACTGCAATAAAAGCCATGGGCTCTTCAGCCTATTTTCTTATATAGAAGCTCCTATTTTATTGAACTGCTACAGTTAAAAAAAAATAACAACAGCAGTTTCTAAAGACATTAGGCAAATAAAATAATACTCAGGGGCTTCCCTGGTGGTTCAATGGTAAAGAATCTGCCTGACAATGCAGGAAACACAGGTTCAATCCCTGCCCCGGGATGATACCACTTGTTGCAGAACGGATAAGCCTGTGCACCTCAACTATTGAGTCTGTGCTCTAGAGCCCAGGAGCTGCAACTACTGAAGTGGAGTGCCCTAGAACCCATGCTTCGCAACAAGAGAAGCCACCTCGAGGAGAAGCCTGTGCACCACGACTAGGGACCAGCCCCTGCCTGTTGCAACTAGAGAAAAGACCGCATAGCAACGAAGACACAGTACAGCCAAAAGTAAATTAAACAAATCTTTAAAAAAAGAAATAAATATAAAACCAAACTATACTCCTTTGCATTTTGTCTTTATTTTAAAGAAAGGGCTTCTGTGGAAGAAAACCCGACAAAGCCCAGTGGCCTTCAACTCATCTTTTATTCTAAACATGCCCTCTAGGCTGAAAGTATCTACAGCACGAGAGAGAGACTGAAGTGCTAAGGTCAGTCTCTGAAGCTAGGATGCACACTGGGTCAAATGGACAACCAAACACAGCAACAAACCACTGAACTTTGATAAGGTCACAAATGGACTTTCTAGTAAAAAACTGCATATACATGTAGAGCTTGGCTAAATCCTTTTGCATAGTGAGTATTCAATAAATACACATTGAGTGAATGAATAAATGGTTTTGAAAGTCAATGTATTGTTGAGCTGTCTCCTGGTGACAGCTCACATTCCTAAGAATAGGGAACAGAAAAAAAAAGGATAAGATATGATGCTGAGAAAGAAGTAGAAAGATTATTTAAAGTATAGCTTCTTCTCTGATCCACAGTAAAACTGCAAAGTGGTTGGAACGAATCTTCAAAGAACCCCCAAATCTTCCTTTCTGCTTGGTCTTCCTAATCCACCCTTTTGTTGTGCTCCTTCTTTCACTCATGACAAGTGGCCAGCGAAGCTCACATTCTTGCCATGACTTCTTCCTCCTCTTATACAACCTACGTTTATGACAATCCAAACAAAGTAAGTTGCACTGAAGGTCTAAAAAGGCTGATATGAATTTGTTCTCTCATCACAATCCTTTATTTTTTAATAAAAGACAGAGAAATTAATCTTTGATTTCCTAATGTCTCAGGACCTTCCAGCACCTCTGAAACCTCCCAGTGCAGCACGATGCTCCCTGTGGTTATTCATACATCAGGTTGTGTCCACACCTAGGGTTATGCATCAGGCTTTGTCCACACCTACGGTTATACATCAGGCTTTGTTCACACTAGGATTATGCATTAGGCTCAAAAATTTTTCATCAACTCCAAGCTATATTCCTTAATCTCACTATAAACCACAGCCTGAAGAAAGAGATTCAAGATATCAGTTTAATTCCAAGCTTTGGCTTGATCACAGGAGTCCTCTTCTAGAAAATAGCTAAGTCACAGGGATCTATTTTATGCCATAGAACAAAAGTCCCATATATATTATAGGCAGACGAAATACAGGCTAAAATGAGGTTAAATGTTTGAAACACTCTGATTCTCTATGGTATGCTATAAAGCAATTTAAAATATCTGTGGCCAAGATATAGACCAGTTAGCACTTGTTAAGTGTAACTATAGGTTGAAGAATTGCTTATAGTCAATCATGGTACACATATCTGGTCTGGGACATATATTTTGCAGTGGTTCCTGTGAAGGGATTTGCAAATTAAATTATTTAAGTGTGCTTATCATTAACAGTTTAAATAAATGACATTTATTTTGGCAAGAGATTAATTTTTAACTTGGCAGCTGTGTTCAGACAGATTGTTGTCAGGTTATTATAGTGACTAACTGTGAAAGAAGGAGGAAATTTACAGAAGATTATTTTGTTTTTAGACCTTCAAACTTGCATTTCTCCAAAGAGGCAAATAATTTTGTCAGTGCCCTGAGACACTGGGTCCCAAAGACATTGCAATGTTTGCATCTTTGTGACCTGATTTCAATAATAACACCATATGTGGAGAACTAAAAATGTTCTTTAATAGAGGAATTCTTCAAATATACTCTTCAGAGGCTGTTTTGTTGGTAAATTGGACATTTATATTTTATATATTGGATATTTATACTCCTATATATATTTATGTAGGAGTGCATCATAGAGAAACATGGTAATATTTAGGAAAAACTCTGAACATAGAGCATGGAGATATGAGGGCCAAGTCTGTGGGAAGACCACTAACTGGGTATGCATTGTGCAGTTCCCACATCTGTAAGATGAGGGTATTTCAAAGTAATCATTAAAGTCCTTTGGTGAAAAGTCCATGCACCTGTGGAAAAGAGGAGGCCTTCTCGGAGAAGGAGAAAACTTCCACCTCTCCACTTAAACACTGCTTTGAGTTACTAGCAATTTTCCAGTTGATGATACAAAATAGCAAGCCACAAATCAAATTTCTATCAAACATGGCAATAGGCTATAAAAACACTGTTAAGTAGCTACCAACATCCCATCTGATTCTCTCTCATTTTGAAAAGAAACTCTAATAATTAAACTTTGAACTATGTAGAAATGACTAAATATAATTATTTTTAACCAGAAAAAGATGACCTAAGAAAATGAACTCATGTCTTGGTTTCTTTTAACATAAAATGCTCTCAGAATACATATGCTTTGCCAAAAATCTAAACTACAACCAAAATAGAAATCTATTTTTCTAGTAAGAAGCAAGAGAAGGTTAAAAGAATGTAGAAAATGGTTTAAATATATATATATATATATATATATGCATTTTTTTTTTTTTACAAATAGGCAATGAGATATGATGGGTGAGTTTGTTAAAAAGATTCTCACTTGAATGTCATAATGTCATAATGTCACTCAAGAAATGTCTTTCAGTTTTCCCTTTGGATTACACAAATCACAAGCCCAAAGCCATGAGCAAATTCTCTACAAGTCTCAGGGTGAGATGTTTAGGCATGCCTGGAAACTTAATGAAGAAGTAAGAAGACATACCTTGAAATCATACGTGGCATCTGGGTTTTCATCACAGGCGATAACTTCTGGAGCCATCCAGTAGGGTGTTCCGATGAAGGTATTCCTCCTGCCCACTGTTCGATCAAGCTGCGCACTGACTCCAAAGTCCACTAGTTAAGGGGAGACAAATGAACAGTCTGTGGCCTAAGGTCTTATACGGTGATAAAATGAATGAGTATTTTTTTTATTGTGGTAAAATATACAACATAAAATTAACATTTTAACCACTTCATAGTGGACAGTGTTGTGGTATTAAGTACATTCAGTTTCCGGTGCAACCATAACCACCATCCAACTCCAGAACTTTTTCATCTTCCTCAGCTGAACCATTAACACTAACTCCTCTTTCTCCCTCCTGTCCCAGGTGCCTTGAAAGCACCATTCTACTTTATGTCTCTATGAATCTGTCTACTATAGATAGATACCTCATATAAGTGGAATCATGCAGTATTAGTCTTTTAGAGACTAACCTATTTTACTTAATGTAATGTCCTCAAAGGTTAATGCATGTTGCAGCATGCATTAGAATGTCCTCCCTTTTTAAGACTGAATATTATTCCATTGTCTGTAGGTGCCACATTTTGTTTACCCATTCATCTGTTGAGGGCATTCAGGATGCTTCTTCCTTTTTACTACTGTGACAGCAGCTAAATTAAATATATATATTCAATTATTTTTAGATTGGAGTATAGTTGATTTACAATGTTCTGTTAGTTTCAGGTGTATAGCAGAGTGATTCAGTTATACAGATACATCAATCTACTCTTTTTCAGATTCTTTTCCCGTATAGGTTATTACAGAGTATTGAGTGGAGTTCCCTGTGTTATATAGTAGGTCCTTGTTGATTATCTATTTTATATATAGCAGTGTGCACATACTAATCCCAAGCTCCTAATTTATCCCTCCCCCACCTTTTCCTTTTGATAACCATGTTTATTTTCCATGTCTGTGAGTCTATTTGTTTTGTAAATAAGTTTATTTGCATCATTTTTTTTCAGATTCCACACCTAAGTGATATCATATGATATCTGTCTGACTTACTTAATTTAGTAGGATAATCTGTGTGTGTGCGCTAGTTGCTCTACTGTGTCTGACTTTTTGTGACTCCGAGGACTGTAGCCTGCCAGGCTCCTCTGTCTACAGAATTCTTCAGGCAAGAATACTGGGATGGATAGCCATAGTCTTCTCCAGGGGATCTTCCCGACCCAGGTCTCCCGCATTGCAGGCAGATTCTTTACCATCTGAGCCACCAGGGAAGCCCATGATAATCTCTAGTGAATGTATATGTTTAAACTGTATCTATTAATATAAATGGATAAAGTGCACCAATGAGAAAAGCACAAGGAGTTATATCTGGTTATATCAGGACTCCATGGAAGACAAAAAATAGGTGTTAAATAAAAGGCAAGCTTGGACCATAAAAGAGAGTATTTAGAGGATGCAAAGAAAAAAAGTGGTAATCAGCTAAGTTTCCGGAGTCAGACTGCCTAAATTTGCATCTCATTTCTGACACTTATTTGTATGTGACCTAGTAGATAAATCTCCTGGAGCTTCATTTTCTTAATCCATAAAATGAGGATGCTGAAAGTCACGTGGAGCTGCTATAATGTTTAAGTGAAATCATCTATCTTCAAACATTTTGTACATGATCTGGAACATAATAGTCTCTCACAAGTAACTGTTAATAGTGATGAGTGAACATTCTGAGGATAGCTTATGTAGTCAGTACATATATAACTGTTTTCCCGACCTAATGCATGCTTTTGTTTTAAAAGGGAATATTCATGAGATGAAAGCTTGGCCCCAAATTCTAACTAAGGGAAAAAAAATGGAAATTATATATTTTAACAAAAAGGCAAGAGCGAATGTTTGGGATATAAACATAGGAGATATTTAAATCTCTTTGAAAAGAAACATTCATATGGACAGTGATTCATTTCTAGAAGACAAATTGCATATCTTACAGGATATCTGTCAATGTATGCTCTTACTTATATACATCAAGCAGTCAAATGCATGTGGGTATTCTCTACCTTATCTGGAAAATCCCAGATTTTTTGTGGGAAGGGCTCTAATGGAAAGGACCAGAGAAAAGGATTCCCTCACTGACAACTTTGGCAGATGGAAGTGGGATAATTAATATGTGTGTAAAGCAGAATATCAAGCATCCATTTTGTACAGGTGTCCTAGGTAATAATGAAATCGATGTAAATGGCACTTAAAATATAGGGGAATATAGCAGGAAATTCATTAGTCTAAATGTGTGTGGATATTTTCAATTAAAAAATATTTCAGCATTGTTCTGTTACAGCAGCAACAACATAAACTATAAAATATAGGAAACCATTTCAAGGTCAGCCACATCTAATCTAAAGGCTCTTTGCTTAAAAAATAAGCTCAATTATTTCTATACATTGATTAAGTACACGGTTCTGCTTATAATACTGTATACCAGTTCACTCCTAAAAGGGCTTTTAAAAAATGTTTTTTAAAGAGGAGAAGAAACATGTTTCTTTCCATTCTAGGTACAATGCCCTCCAAATACACAGTGACACATTTACATTCATTATTTTAAAAAGAAAAACAGGTGAAACAATCCTACCAATTCCTGTAATTCCTAGGCTCACTGGATTCTGTTCTTACCTAGTTTAACTTCTGCATTTTCAGTCAGCAAGACATTTTGCCCTTTAATATCTCGATGAATCACTTTATGCTGGTGCAGGTGACTCAGCCCCTGGTGTGATGGAGAGTTGGGAAGGGTTAATAGCAATATAAATCCAGATGCAAAAAAAAAAATATTTTGGATGTTAATAATCCAAAAAATTTAAACTTACCCAGAGATTCTTTCATTATTGTATTCATATCTTTCATGTGGTCATAATTCAAATGTAGCACAATGTTCATTTATTCTAAACTGCAAGCAACTGATCAGTATGAGGAAATATACAGGCAGTCCTTACAATGCTCGGTACTGTGCTAAATGAAACATTTGCATATCAACTTTGATCTCGGGTAACAAGGAACCACACAAGCCATGAAATGGCTGGTTCCAACACGCACATGTTTCAGCTAACAGCACTCTGAAAAGTCAGGACCACCTGTATTCACCAGCTGGTATATGGAACATCTAGCGTTTCTACAGAAAACTGATTTAACAGAAGTCCCCACTTTTGGAGGCAATTTTTGAATTTAAAAGTTTAAAAGTTATCTTCTATTATGTAATTTTAATTAAGCACAGTATTACTCAGACCAGCCAAGAAATTTCCCATTAGCTTTAACCAATGTCTCACATTGAAAAAAAGGAAAACAGCAATTTTTACTTCCTTTGTTAATGTTCACCACTGTCATTTTTAGTGCTTTATGATATTTGTGACTTTGTGCTCATTATGTGAAATAATTATTCAGTGACACCTCAACCTCATTGTGTTCCATTTTTCCATGAATTATCCTGACTTTGGCTTTTATGTGGTATGAGTTCTAAAAAAACACTTGTTCTAAGGTGGTTTCTCAGATACACTGTAACTTAAAAGAATCTAAAATTGGCATACTGAAGCAAGTCATATTATATCAATGCTTTCTAATTCAAGGTAATGGATACCCAAGTGTTGTCATTTTTTATTTATAATTTTCTGTATTTTCCCCATGCATTGTAGCACTGCTCTGGTTGTAAATCAGGTGACCAGAAGAAGTGGGTCTGTTCATGGACTCTCCGTCATATTTCCTTGGCCGTTTGTCTATTCTTATGACAATACCACCTTGTCTTAACTTCTTAGCAACTTTATAAGAAGTCCTGAAAACTGGCAGCATACATTTTTCACCTTTGTTCCTCAAAATTGCCTTGATTATTCCTGGCCTTTTGTTATTTCATATAATGTTTTAAAAATCAGCCTGTACATCCACAGGTGTATCTAGAAGGATTTGAATAGGCAGTTTATGATACCAAGGATCAGACTGGGAAGAAATAACATCATTACAATATCAAGCATTCTAATTTATGAAATAGTTTTATGTTTTGTTCCCTTATATTAAGAAGGCAGAACAAATAAATAAATGTCAAGCAGATCTAGTATAGGAATGTTCAGTGGACATACAGTAGCGTCCTTATTAATAGCAAGAGATAATTAAACTGATCCAAACAAACTAAAATATGACCAGTTATCTTCTTCCTGAAGTGAACTCAGCAAATATGACACTGCTGTCCAGACTGCCTGACTCTGGAATTTATGGGCAAAACTGGGCAGATGGGCACATTCTTGCCCAACTGTTTTAACTGATTTTAGAGATTGTCTCAAGGAAACTTTTTAAGGTAAAACAGTTAAAATAGGTTTTATGTACTAAAATGGCTAACGTCATACAAGCCTTAAATTAGTTATAAACTTTCACAAGTTGAAAACTCAAACAAGTGACCAAAATATCCTTAAACAATCCATCTCCTAAGTGGAAAACTATCTCTGCGATCTAAAATCAGATTTCCAATCGGAAACTCCATAGGAAATGAATCCCAGGTTAAGGGAAATCACCCAACTAACCCTTCAAATGAGAGTGCACATGCCTATTCAGTTTTTTTGTTGTGTATGTGCTTAGTTGTATCTGACTCTTTGCGACCCTATGGACTGTAGCCTGCTAGGCTCCTCTGTCCATGGGATTCTCCCAGTAACAATACTGAAGTGGGTTGGCATTTTTTCCTCCAGGCGATCTTCCTGACCCAGGGATCGAACCTGTGTCTGCTGCATTGTCAGGCAGATTCTTTACCACTGAGCCACCTGTGAAGCCTATTCAGAATGGCTCTCCCTTCGTCACAGCAGACCACAACACATACCACTGCCACCATCACTGTTAGAATAAAGCTCTAAGGAGGTTTCTGATAAGAATTACGGAGTGAGTTAGCGGAAGGTCAGTGTAAAGGTCAATACCTCCCAAGGTATCCCATGTTGTCACTTACTCGTAAGATCTCCCTGCAGATGTATGCAATCCACTCCTCCTTCAACGTGTTACCTTTTGTGTTCTTGATCAGGTCAGTGACAGAGCCTGCACCACAAAACTCCATCACCAACTGGGAAAGGAAGCAAAGAGGCCATTATTATAATTACACTTCAAGACTTCTACTGTGTTAAGAAAGCATAAGGTATCTAGTCGGTTGCTTTGGAATGCCATTCCTGCAAAGAAAAAGTGATCATAAAACGACATATAAAACAAATTTTTATCTTTATTTTTTCCCCAAATGATAGATTTTTTAAAAAATGTGGACCATTTTTAGAGTTTTTACTGAATTTTGTTACAAATATTGCTTCTTTTTTTAATGCTTTATTTGTTTGGCCTTGAGACATGTGGGATCTTAGCTCCCTGACCAGGGATCGAACCCTCATCCCCTGCATTGGAAGGTAACGTCTTAACCACTGGATCACCAGGGAAGTCCTGGAAAGATTATTTTTAATTTTCCAAACTGGAAATTGAGGAGAATCTCCATATTCTGTGTTTTAAATGAGGGCAGCTAGGTGGTTCAGATGGAATTGAGACTATCCTTGTGATTTTATTTAGTGGTCAAGCTCATCTTTCCTACAAAAGTAGGCTCATCCCCCTCTCTGAAAGAGCTGTGGTTGTCTAGGCAATCCCAAGCCAGAACAATAGAAGTGCACATTGTTTATGCTATTGGTTTGTAAGTGGCACTGTAAGCTGTCAGAGTGAGGACGATCTGCTTTTAATTAACTTCAGCAAATATTCCCAGGAGGCTGGACATATCAGATAAATTCACTAAACAATAAGCCCTAATTTAGCACCTTTCATCCAGAAAGCTCCAAGTTCTCTATAAATATAGACTCATTACAGTACTCAGCAACTTTATAAAATAGGCAGAAATTAAACATCTCCCTTACTTAATGGAGAAGTACAGACTAGAAGAAAAAAAGCAATCCATCTGCTTTTACGTTCATTTTCTAGGTTTAGAAAAACATATCCATTTCCATACATTCTCCCTCTTCTTCAAAAGTCTTCAGCAAAAGTCACCTTATTAGGTACTTTTAAACATAATTATAAGAAAATAGTTTAGGATGAGTAGCAATCAGTCTCTGACTTGATGCTAGAAACAGAACTAAAATAGAGACATAATGAAATCACACTGATGGTTTTGGCTTTGTCCAAATGTGCATTCCTAACATCAGCACCATGTCACCAGGTCCTAAAAGATAACCCACCAGACTGCAAAAATCTTTGGGCAGAATTAATGTTCTCTTTTTTTTCTAAATGCCCAGGTGAAACGCAAAAAATTATTTTAAAAACTCATAAAATTAGTTTTCTGAATGAGTTTCCAATGTCATTCTGATTTGTCTTCTTATGATTTTATAAAGTGTAACAAAACTCTCCACTCTTCTCCAGAGAGCTGGTGAAAAGTACACAGATCGATCAGGGGCTCTTGTAAAGAAATTTGAAAAGTGCCACAAAAGAGCATGCTTCAGCCCCCCAAAAAAGCTGTAAAATTATCATATATGAGAGCCAGGAAGCTGTCAAAGACTATAAAATCATGCTAGAAAGGATCAAAGAGTCAACTATAAGAGGTCTCACTGGCCAAAATGGGGGTAATCTGAGAATCAGAAGCAACTGACAAAGAATTAATCTCAAAAATATACATGCAGCTCATACAGCTCAATTCCAGAAAAATAAACGACCCAATCAAAAAATGGGCCAAAGAACTAAACAGACATTTCTCCAAAGAAGACATACAGATGGCTAACAAACACATGAAAAGATGCTCAACCTCACTCATTATCAGAGAAATCCAAATCAAAACCACAATGAGGTACATTCACGCCAGTCAGAATGGCTGCTATCCAAAAGTCTACAAGCAATAAATTCTGGAGAGGGTGTGGAGAAAAGGGAACCCTCTTACACTGTTGGTGGGAACGCAAACTAGTACAGCCACTCTGGAGAACAGTGTGGAGATTCCTTAAAAAACTGGAAATAGAACTGACATATGACCCAGCAATCCCACTGCTGGGCATACACACCGAGGAAACCAGATCTGAAAGAGACACGTGTGCCCCAATGTTCATCGCAGCACTGTTTAAAATAGCCAGGACATGGGAGCAACCTAGATGTCCACTGGCAGACGAATGGATAAGAAAACTGTGGTACATATACACTATGGAATATTACTCAGCCATTAAAAAGAATGCATTTGAATCAGTTCTAATGAGGTGGATGAAAATGAAGCCCATTATACAGAGTGAAGTAAGCCAGAAAGAAAAACACCAATATAGTATACTAACACCTATAAATGGAATTTAGAAAGATGGTAACAATGACCCTATATGTGAGACAGCAAAAGAGACACAGATGTACAGAACAGACTTTTGGACTCTGTGGGAGAAAGCGAGGGTGGGATGGTTTGAGAGAATAGCATTGAAACATGTATGTTATCATATGTGAAATATATCGCCAGTCCAGGTTAGATGCATGAGACAGGATGCTCAGGGCTGGTGCACTGGGATGACCCAGAGGGATGGGATGGGGAGGGAGGCGGGAGGAGGGTTCAGGATGGGGGACACATGTACACCCATGGCTGACTCATGTCAGTGTAACTCAATATTGTAAAGTAATTAGCCTCCAATTAAAATAAATAAATTTTAAAAAAGAATAATAACTGCAAAGTCTTGAAACACATTGAAAATGCTTAAGTAAATGCATTAATAAAAACATGTCCTCAAAAAGAATGTAATTGGCACTGTTTGAAGAAACTGAAAAACCAATTTCTTATATTGAAACTGGTAAATAAAAGGAAAAAAATCAAGAATTTACATTGCCTTTCTTTTACAAGTTTTACCACCATGATTACATAATAAAAGAGCTAAAACTTCTCTTCACAAAAACATAAATGAAAAGGACATAATGGAATTAGAATATCACTATTTTACAACCTCTGATAAATTAGTGGATTTAAGCACCAATGGCTGCTAAGATAAAAAGAAAATAACCAGCTAAGATTTATCTCTTGATTAGAGTAACACAACATCACCTAAGGAGTAATTGTACCTAAAACAAAGCAAAACAAAAAAAGCCCAAACTAAATCTGATCAAGCATCTAGTTCCAGTTACCAATTTACAGGAAATTAAGAGGACCGAGGAACAAACATGTTACATGATGGGGATACAATCAACAAAATCTAGGATAAAAAACTCCAAAGGGTAAATGGCTCATTTGCTTCAACAAATATATATAATGAAAGAAGAAGAGATGGAAGGGAAATCTGTAGGTTTAATAACATTTAAAAAGGTCTACCAACAAATTGCAATGAATGCAACTTATCTGGACACTAATTTTTTTTTAAAAAGCTGTTGAAAATTTTTAGAACAATCTAGAGTCTAGATATTTGCTGACATCAAGGAAATGTGGTTGATGTTTTTTAAGGATGATGATAGTATTGTGGTTATGCAAAAAAATAATTATATTTTAGAGAAGCATACTGAAGTATCAATACTAAGGATAAAATGATATGAAGATAGTCTCTTCTACAAATGAGGCTGGGTCAACTGGATATCCACATGTAAAAGAATAATGTTGAGTCCTTACCTCATATCACATATAAAAATTATCTTGGAATGAATCAATGATGTAAATATAAGAACTAGAACTGTAAAACTCTTAGGAGGGAACATGGGGTAAATTTTCACCACCATGGACTAGGCAATGGTTTCTTAAGTTTGACACTAAAAGCACAAACAACAACAACAACAAAAATAAATAAAAGGAGAGAAATTGGATTTCATTGACATTAAAAATTTTGTGCATCAAAAGACACTATCAAGAGGGTGAAATGACAACTCATAGAATAGACAAAACATGTGCAAATCACATATCTAATAAGGGTCTAGTATCCAGAATATATAAAGAACACTTACAACTCAACAAGAAAAATATAAACAACACAATTGAAAAAGGGGTTAAACACTTGAACAGGCATTTCTCCAAAGAAGATATACAAATGACTAACAATCATATGAAAAGACGCTCAACGTCAACAATCTTTAGGAAAATGCAAGTCAAAACCACAATGAGATACTACTTCACACCCTTTAGGATGACTATAATTTAAACAGAAAAAAAAGTGTAACAAAATAATGTGTTGGCAAGAATGTGAAGAAATTAGAACTCTCCTACATGGTTGGAGAGAATGTAAACTGTGGCAAACAGTTAGATGGTTTCTCAGTAAGTCAGAAATACTAAATATATATATATATATATATATATATATATATATATACACATATATATACACACACACACACACACACACACATATATATATATATAAAAGAAATAGCATATGACCTAGCAATTTCACTTCTAGGTATATACCTACCCCTCAAAATTGAAAACATGTGTTTAAACAAAAACTTGCATATGAATGCTCAAAGCAGCACTGTTCACAATATACAAAATGTGGAAATAACCAAACTGTCCATCATCACAGATGAATAAATAAAATGTAGTATATCCATACAATAGAGTGTTATTTGGATATGAAAAGGAATGAAGTACTGATGCATGATACAATGTGGATGAATCTTGAAAACATCATGATATTAATAACTGAAAGAAGCCAGAAGAAGAAAGCTATACGCTGTATGAATCCACTTACATGAAATATCCAGAATTGGCAAATCCGCAGAGAATGAAAGCAGATTAGTGGTTTTTTAGGGGGAGGAAAGAATGGGAGCTGCAGCCTAAGGGGTAGAGAGTTTCTTTCTGGGGTGATAAGAAAGTTTTGGAACTAGACAGAGGTGATGGCTGCACAACATTGTGTACTTAATTCCACTGTTATACACTTTAAAATTATTAAAATGGCAAATTTCACACTATATGTATTTTACCAGACTTCTTTTTTAAAAAAAGATGATGAAATTTGTTTCAAGATAACAGAAGGGAGGAAGTAGATGAGTGTATAGATGGGGCAGGATTGATAATTGGTTGACAATTGTTGGGGCTAGTTTGAGGCACATTATACTGTTTTGTCCACTTTTGTGTATTTGGGGGATTCTCTATAAATACAAAGTTAAAGA